ACTTAGAGTAAAAGGCGTGCACTACATCTCCCTTAGGACTTCCAGCTCAGAGTGAGCAGGGTCGCTAGTTTTCATTTCTCATTAACACTCTGGGAACTTACTTTCCTGGTTTGATGACTGATTTTCTTTCTCCCTGTGTAAGTTAAGCCCTTTTTGTTTTCTTCTAAATGGGGGAATTAATATTAACAGAGGCAGGGGTAAGGGGCTGCAAATGTGACCTTTGATCTCTGGTTATCCGTCCCCATGGCCTGTCTATGGAAAGCCCTCCTTCCCTCCTCTTTTGCCTGCTTCCTTCTCCTACGCCCTGATTTTTTCTCACCCCTTTCGTCTGTGTCCAGTTATATGACACTCTTGTCTATTAGTGTTTTCTCACAAAAACTCTAGTCTTCTTTTCAGATGGTAAGACTGGGGCAGTCTTTTCAGTAGGAAGAGTGGAACTTCTCTATGCTTCCACCACAAATTAAAGCTAAGGGGGATCGTTGGACATTTAGCTCCACATTAGACCTATAAGTGTGTGCGTTGCTCACCTCATATCCTTTTTCTCAAATTAGATCTTTACTGCTGACAGCTAACATAACATTCTCCACTGAACAGAGTATTAATATTTCTCGTCTAGGGAACATTGTTATTATTGTTCTTAGGTCTTAGTCTTTCCTGGTTGGTGCTTTTCTCTTCTAGGTTGAAATGGAAATAAAACTAGCAGAAAACCATACACCTGAAGCAGTAAATACTAAATGATATTACTTACTACACGGATGAACAGTGACTTCATTTGGGTATGGGGGGGTCTTGATAATATGGGTGAATGTAGTAACCACAGTGTTTTTCATGTGAAACCTTCATAAGAGTGTACATCAATGATACCTTAATAAAAAAAATACTAAGCAACATTAAATTGCCTCGGGATTACATTGTGCATATGAATGTATGCAAGATCAAAGGCATAATGAAATCGAAGGAAGCCTATCACACCAAGCCATGCAAGTGGGCCAGCACAAGCACAAGCACATCTTGACACGGCCAGGCGTGTCTGGAAGGAAAGGGCTGCGTACCCACAAACCAGCCATCGTCACACTTCTCCATCACGTCGATGACATCGCTTTCTCTGAGCTCCAGCTCGTCTTCGTTCCTAGGAGCATAGTTATACAGAGCCTGAAACCTTAAACAGGACAGACGGAGGCGTTTTTAAAATAATCTTTACATCTTTGCAAAACTATAGAAGATAGTATATTCACTTGACTCTTAAACAGTTCTGTTCTTATTAACATGTGAAAACAGGTAGTCTAAGTCTTTGGTAAGCACATAAATAGATTAGACTTTCATGGGCATTAGATCACTCTGATAGCATTTCCAAAAGGCAGTGAGGAATATTCGTGGAAGATTACAACATCTATGAGTTGGATTAAAACATTTTAACTTTTATAAGTCTTTTATAAAAACTTTTATAAATTGCTATGTAGTTGTGCAGTCATGGGTATCATTCAGACATTAAATACTAGTACCCAATACAAAAGAAGTGATATAAACATCATTCAGCTATATAACAAGAAGGAATTACAGTTTTAGCTAGTCATAATCTGAAACAAATAAAAACTTGGGGCATGCAAGTTGAATTTTCAAATGATTCTGAATCGAGATGTAGAAAATGTCTCAGGCACATGTCTTCTAAGTCACTATGCAGGAACTACTGTAACAGAGAAGGTTTTTTTTTTTTTTCACCAAGAGGAATAAAGCAATTTAGTTTTGCAGTTTCAATCAGTGTTTTCTGAGGATTTAGAGTTTGAAAATCTGAAGTAATTCACTGTGAAGTTAAGTGGATGTATTCTATGCTGAGGTATTTCTGAGCCTATTTTAAGCAGGAGATTATGGATGTAAGTTCCTTTTTAAAAGGGATCCTGGAGAAATTGTGTTTGATATAAAAACCATCTCTTTAAATAATTTTATATAATGGAGAATTGTGGATAGAATGCCAACACTTTCCTTTCTCTGCCTGAATTCTTGGAGAGCATGTATTTGGGTGACATTGATCAGTAATGGATACAGATATCGAATCTGTGGTAATAAATAGCATATATTGATTGATGCATGTTAACATGGACTGGCCTTTTGGAAAGTGAAGACACAAATTAAATTCTAGCAGCTGAGGAATTCAGGAAGCATTTAATAAGCAGTTAACATGAAAACTTCATATTACTACTATAACATTACCAGTATTATGAGGAAGATTTTTAAATATCAGAGGATTTATTTCTGCTTTTGCCATAACAGTTGTGTAATTCTGTCAATGTAAGAAAATTAGAACTATATTTCAGGGCACTTTGAATTTTATAAAGCTACCTTTAAAATGCTGATAATATTGGATGCTGTTTGGGAACAAGGATAATTTATTTCTAATCACTTGAGTCAGATAATGACAGTTAGATGGAATAAAACGACTGCATCACCTGAACTCAGACATTATGTCGTAAATTAGGGACATGGCTCCATTTGTTTCCCTCTCTGTCCATGAACTTTTTCAGATTGGGGAACTGGATCAAGTTGGCTTTGGTGGGGGCAGGGCAGGGGTCTGGGAAGGAGTTGCTAAGATGTGGTATCTAACATCCTCCCCTAGAAAACATTGCCTTCCCCAGCTGGTACCAGAGCCTGAAAATCCAACAGTCGAGAGATTTTTTGCTGTTAATATTTTGTCCTCCTAGTAAACCTTTTCAGCCACTTGCACTCCTTTGAGATTGGGCTCGTAAGGTCTTGTGTTGATTCTGATTGTGGAAAAGGGCAGAGAAAGGTAGCCAGACTCGCAGAGCAGTGGTAAGAAAGACAAGGTGGTGGTGATCACCGACAGTACTTAATTTGGCGTGGGGCCAGCCCTGGTTGGCACCGAAAAATTATTTTGTTGTTGAAGGACTGACTTTTAAGAGCTTGATTTTGAGGCTGTTCAGGTGAAGGGGTGGTACGTTTTGTGTACCTATAGGGAAAGTTGATTTCCACATCGTTCCTTTCTCAATTTTGCATGTGAGGGACAGAGTCACTCCTGGGCTGCTAAGACACACACCGATCTCTCACTTTGGGAAACACTGATTCTCTGCTTGAGGTGTCCAGGCTTCAGCCTTACGCCAGGGACCTCTCCAGCCTCTGACGGAGACAGGCCTATTTAAGGCCACAAAACCCCAGCTGCTTGAAGAATCTCAAGGTCCCAAGAAAAATACAAAATTGGCACGAACTCCTATTTCACTTTGGTATGATGAAAGCCAGTGTGCTTGTCAAAATTTATTTACCATTCTGGTTTAATTAGACCACAAAAAAAAAAAAAAAATGGGAGTTTCGTGGAAACATAAACAGACCTTCCAGAAATTCTTCTGCCTCTGTTGGCCTTCAAAATCAGTGTTGCACGACAGGAAATGCAGTCACATTACAACTAAAAATGCTATTTTGAAAGATGTATTGGTGGGATGAATGATGGTGGTGGTGTCAGGATGCCTCAAAAAGAAATTCGCCTTTTTAAATAGGAAAAGCTCAACCCGACTTAAAGCTTTTTCTGTAACTTCCAACATTTTCTACAACACATTTCACTGTAATTCTGAATTGTAGCAACATTTTGTTCCTATTTTCACTCAAAATCTATTTTTTAAATGAAAGAGATTAAGCGACACCCCTAATCCCACTAACTGAAGTTGTAATCAAATAGAAATTTAATAAGCAAAGTTGTAGTGTCCAAAGCAGGTTACAGTACATGTGCTTTCTCCCCACTGTGAGCTCTGCAGTTTCATAAACACCTAAATGACCACAATTGAAATGATTAACTCTGTATTACCTAAAACGTGACATAACATACTGATTAATTCACAAACTCCTTCATAGCTGCTGAATGTAACATGTTGGCAATGCAGGAACCCTAAACAACCCTAGAATTTATTTTTTGCGGTGTTTTCCTATCGTTGTGTGAAAAAAGTAAATAACGCAAAACTTTAGAATTATAAGTCATACTTAAATTTTTTCCAGTTAAATGCTGTTTTACATGATTTTCATTTCCAACCTATTCTTTTCATCAGAGTTGTTTCCTTAACAGGAAAGCCTTTCTGGTTGTACTTAGTGAGAGCCAGTGTCAGGCAAGGGATGGTTTCTGAAAAGTATGCTTTTAGCCAAGTGCCAAGTCTGATACGTGAGGAGGGAATCTCTGGTGATGGAGGTACCATGCCCCACACCAGGCCCTGGCAACTTGTTATGGTAGGCCCCCCTGCACACGCTCAGGTAGCCTGACAAGGTATAGCTCCGTAAATGCTTCTTCCCAGGGGTCCAGCTCCTGACTCACAGAGGGGGGAGTAGCCAGTAGGAAGAGGATAACTGTACATTTCTCATGGGCAAAATGGAGCAGAAAAAGACACACACAGAAAGAATTTTAAAGACAGAATGTAGTACTTTCAGGCTGATTTGGCTTATGTATCAGAAAGGAGAGGGAATCTGAAAGTGTGAAAAGGCATTTAACTGAATGATAGTGAGTATTTAATATTTCCATTTCCAAATACCCTTCTAAGAATGTACCTTTGGAAATATATTCCTTATCACTGTAGGCCTACTTTTACACTTTCCTGGTCTCCAAATATGTGTAAAAAGAATGTGTCTTTGAGTTGTAGTGACTAGAATCTACATGGTGGATAGAACAAAGAGCAAGACGAGTTCATGAGTCTTAGGAATCATTGTAAGGTTTCCCTTCATAAGGAAGTGTGTAAATCAAAGTCTTTTTCACAAAAATCATGGCTTCTTTTTAAAATAAGCTTCTCTTCGTGAAGGAAGATGGAAACTATTGCAATTTCTCTGAATCTAGATCTTACATTAGTATTTGGATCTCTTTCACTTGCAAAGTTGTACCATCCTCTGTTTTGGTGTATCACTTGTCCATTTTGGGGGGCAAGGTTAGTTGTGAATTTAGAAGATAAGAAGAATACTTACGGTTCCCCCCCACCTTGAATGTTTTCATGAGTAAACACAGGACGCTGTGGCTGAAATGAAATGATTTTCAATGTAATCAATGTTTAAACTGGTACTAATTAAAAGATAATTTGGGTAATGGCATGGTACTTTTCTTGACATTTAATATTTCCTGTTGTAAAAAACCAAGAGGAAGGAAAAAAACCAAATGAAGGGTTTCTGCAGGATTAATAATTAAGGTATTTTGAAGCGTGCTTTAAATTAAATCAGAATAACCAAGGTTCAAATGGTTTAAACACATCTACAATCTAGACTGCTCAAGTTTTAAGGAAAAGTCAGGGTTTAGTCCCATTGATTTTTCAAAGACCAGGAATATGACAAGAACAGACACACTAAACCACTGGAATGAGAAGTCTGGACACCTTCATACAACCTTACTCTTCAGCATTTTCTCAAGCAAGCAGAAAATAAACCACATTTAATCTAACAGCGAAGTATCCACATTCATTCTAGTATACTTTTCCTTCACAGACATTATTTTCACATACAGAACAGATGAAAATATCAATAGGCAGACATCCCATGCTACATTTGAATTAACACTCTCTGTTCTCAATGTGGAGAAAACATGCATTTTTAAAAAAGAGAAAACAGAGAACTTTAAATAGAATGTAACAAACAATATCCAGGTAACATGTAACATTTTACCTTAGAAGAGAAATATTGGTAGAAATTCCCAGTGCACTGAACTCTCAAAAGAGTTTCTTTTCTTTTTAAACTAAGCATCAAGACCAGTATCTGTAATAGATACTTATAATATTGGAAATGACAAGCCTTAGCATCCCATATACCCCATAAATATTGCAATGAATGAAAGCTAGCATGTTTGTTGACTATGTAAACTTAACATAGTTTATACTTTGTAAATGTTACCTTGTAGGGGGAAAAGCATTACAGTTCATTCACAACACATTTCAAAAGCATTCTCTTCTAAATGATGGTTACATGGTGAAATGAGATAAGTCAGAGCTTGTGAGCCAGTTACACAAGTGACCCCTTGTGACTACTGAACCATTTATTAGATCCATGCTCTTATACATCAGGGCCAATTCCCGGATCCCAGAGTTATGAGTGGATTGCTGATAGGCTGGGAATTTTCCCTTGCAAATCGTCCATAGCAACCCTACCCACCCAAGAATGGATGGAGAACTCTGGGGTTCCTTTCAGTCCCTGAGTCTATAAACTGCTCCTTTTCTAAATTGTTTATCTTCTCCCTTCACACCTAAGCTGTCTATCTGGCTTAAGAAGAATAGGTGCTTACATTACTAAAACTTTAGGCTTTAAATTTATTAATTGGAAGTGTTTACTAACAGTACTCTTAAAATTTCATGCAACAGTCTATGTATAGAGTACATAAACTTAAGACTAAAGAATGGATAAAAATCATTGGATACATGTATGATTTAACAGGATAATACTTACTCCCATAAATCAATATAAAATGACTCACAGTGTATCTAATATAATTACTAAAATTATAAAATATACTATTTTAAGAATGGTTAAAACCAAACCATTTTCTAGCCACCTTTAAGATAATTTAATTCAACCTATTAAGTCAATTTAAATAAATGAAGAGGTAAATACATTCATAAGCCTATATCCTATTATATCTCTTCAAGTTCTCATCCAATTATATATATATATATAACTTTTATTCAGAAATAAGATTGCATATATCAATTATTTTTTAATAATTTTCCAGTATTCTTTTTCATTTTAAATCACTACACAATAAGTCCCTTACATATATATATTTATATATTTTTTTGAAGATTAGTCTAGCTTTTTTGTCCCCTAATATAAATAAAAATGATGTAAACGTTCTTATACAAAGAACTACTTTCTTTTTTTCAACTATGCCTTAGAATGTATTTCCAGTAGTAACATTTCTGGTTAAAGAATATATGTCCAAGCCACATAATGCTAAAAGAACTTGTGAAAATAGCAAAGAAAACCCCAAACCTATATATATAAATGTAACTTAAAAGAATTTTAAATGCCATTTTCAAATCACACACCAAGATAGCTACTATTCTCACACAAAAACAGTCATAATACCATGTATACTGCATAGCAAGGTTATAAATGGGAAAAAATCATTGGTTTTTATCTTAAGAGAAAATGTTTTGTAAAAGATACTATATGGTACTCTAAAAATGGTGTGGCTATTTCCACATATTTAAATCATTCTAACATTTTTAAGTTGAGTAATGTTTTGCGTTGTGGCTGGCATTCAGGGCTTAGTAAAGGTGGGCAAACAAGATCTGGAATATACTTGCACTCTATCGCCACCTAATGGTGAGTGGTGGCAGCAACAAAAAGTTGTTCATGCCTTTCCTTCAAGTTCCTTCAGCCTGGATACATTTTGAAAGGGTATTTTCCAGCACACAGAACCAGGTGGATTTGATATCCATGCATTTTTCTGACCATGTTCTTACCTACCCATGTTTGAATTTTTGAGAAAGAATCACTCCTTTGTCACCAGAATTTTGGTCTGTGTTCATCTCTATTTTAACAGTCTGCTCAGGCATTTCCATTACTCATAATTTCTTAGCAGTTTTAGGTTAAATATAGAACAATATACATTTGTAATATTCAGAAAGTCTCACATGAACTGTGAATTTAAAAGATGGGTTTTCAGTTACCAAACAACAGTCACTGTGCTAGAAATTTTGAGTGAGAATTAAATCATGCTTGTATTTTCTTGATGAGTCTTAAGAGTACAATAAAAATTAGAAAATCCAGTGAAGCATCATGCTGTTTTCATGGAATCCTAAACATTTAACTTCTCCCTTGGCAATGTAACAATCATTTTTTCCCCCTGTTTGTGTGTAGCTAAAATTGTCAAAAGTGGATACAAAATGAGCCAGATTTTAAACATATGCTAATTTTCAAAGCCAGAACCAACCACAAACCACTGTTCATAAGGAAACTGGGATTGAAATATCCTAGAATCTCTGGTATCGGTTAAATACATACTTCCCTAGTGCAGATGGTGAGACACGCAGTCTGTCTCAAACACAAACCCATCTCCTTGTCTGTGCTTCTGTAGAGGTACCTCTGGAAGATTAGCTGTATCTTTTACTGGGTAATTTTTTTTTTGTATTAGGTAATTTTTAAATAAGATTAACTATTACTTTAAATTGTAATGTGGAAAAGTATCTGAAAGAGTTTTAAGCGGTTCTAGAGTTCTTAAGTCAATTTTCTTTTCAGAAAATGTTAGTTCTAGTACTTGCCAACCAGAATTAGAAAACCTTCTCCTAATAGCGGTACCATGTTTATGTCTGTAGGCTTACTTTTCCTTCTTAAATTATAAAAGTAAAACACAACTTTGCATAAATCTAAAGAACAGAGAATATTTATGTTCCACATAAACCCATATAAAATAACATGTAAGTAAATAATGTAAAAATCTGGCAAAGAAAAAAATCTTAAAGTGTTCCAAAGCTATCATCTTATTGACCCATGGGAAATTTATGGCTGGGCCATATGAATTGTGGAAAAGCTTTCATTTTATTTTGGATCTGCAAGGCCCTTTGTGAAGTCTAAGAATCTCTTTGGATCAACATTCCTCTTTCTCTATGGCAACACAAATATCTGCCTCAGAAACAAAATAAGGTCTTACTATGAAAAGCAAAAAGCACAAAAAAATGGCAAAGACACAGAGAAATATCCATGTTTTTAAACAGTGGAAAAGGAAGTCTTTTCAATTAAACCCTTAAGATCTGTAAGAACCATAGTCACTTAATAGACCAGGTAAGGTTAAACCAGGGTCCACCAAAATAGAAATGATGTTAAGAACTGACTTCTGCAGAGACAGAAATTCTGAAGTCTTGGCTGTCTTCCTCAGAATCCATAGTAACTTTTAGAACCCATTCATATGAAAGTGCTGCCAATGTTACAGAACTAAGTAGTTAAAGGGAAAAGTAATTTGACCTTTAAGTTCAATCAAAGCTGTCAAGAGTCTGGGAGTAGCTAGAATCCAGAGCAGCAGCATTGGATGGGAAAGGGTCATGGAGTGAATGTAGCACACAACACCAAAGCAATGAGATATTTTGCAAAAAAAGATTATGGATTTTTTAAAAAATCCAAATAAATGGAACAAAACAAAAGCAAACACCACCAAAGTGTGTGAGTTCAGTATGTGATCGGCAACAGCTTTGTTCTTTGCACTAAACACAGTGACTAGAAAGAAGCGATTTACAGAGAACATAGAAGCTTGCAGAAGACAATATACAATACACCTATTTGTACAGTGGAGAATTTGGTCATGTCTTTTTGGACTTTGGAAAACTTACACGCATACACAAGGGAAGTACATTACCCAGAGACTTAGGATTTTCATGTTGATTTGGTTTCATAGCTCATCGTCATCGGGTCACTTCAACTCAAGGGTACCTATAGCCCTACTTTACTAGCAAAACACAGCAACAACAACGAAGGAAGAGCCAGCCTACGGAGGGCGGTGGCCAGAGTGCCTGGCTCAAGGCGGTGGTTCTGACCCTACCCTGTGGGAACCGCTGAGCCCTCTGACAGGCGAGCCGCAGGATCTCCTAGACATCACTGGACTACGTGGAGGCTTACCCAAGACAAATAGGTCGCTTTTTAAATCAGCCTGGAAAAGCCATAAGAAGTTAGTTAGTTCTCATCTTCATTATCCGGCCTTCAGGAGGAGCTTCCCTGTTTTGTTTTTTACATGCACACATAGCATGCCAAACTCTCGGATAACAGCAGAGCAAGAGGGTTCATTTCTGCAGACAGCTCTTCCATATGGCCCCCCATAGTTTTCACTCCGCAGGCATCGGTTGCTGCTTCAATACAGAACTCACAGGCATAGCAGAGAAAGACTTAGAGGGAAGTTGGCATAGAGAAAATGTTTGACTGCAATATAGATGGCTAAGAACACATACGAGAAATTCTGCATCTTTAATAGATTGCTTAATTATTGGGTTCAAGCCTCCCTCAGATCTGACCTGTTTTCTTTGTGCCTATTTGAATAGATGCAAGGTAAGGTAGAGGGAAATTCTGCTTAATGTCCATCACATTTCATAGATAGTGTCAATCAGTTGTTGGGGGCAAACTTCTTAACCAAACACGTAAGAAAGTAGGGATTTTCTGGGGAAGATGGTGAAATATATTTAAAAAGTGAATATTGTGCTAAGTCAAAGCACCTTGTGACTATTTTGGTATTCTTTTAAAGTAAAATTTTAAATGTGACAGTGATAGGCTAATCTTTTATGAGAGTATGCTTTATTTTCTTTCAGTAGTGGAAAAGATCTGGCAATATACCATCTGGAATATGATTTGGCTTGTGAGAGGTTTAGCAGGACTAAAGGACTTTTAAATCAAAGTACGTTGTTTGCTCAACTCTCACTTAGGAAAATTTTCATAGTAATTAATAATGTTTGTCCTGAAATCTCCAGTTTCTGGGGATGAAATACATAAGGCATTTTTCTTTAAGGGTTGTGGCAGGAAATGCTTGATATTCTCTAGTATCCATTCTCTTCTTCATCTGTCCTCAGTCACAGAATCCTGGATGTTAGAAGGGCACATGGCCATTCTGAATAAAGTCTACAATCTTCCTTGTAGCTAGATGTGCTCGTGCTATAAATTCTGACAGATGTGAAATTTCCGGGAAGTGGCTATCATGGGAAAAGGCATAAGCTCCCCTTTTCTTTTCTCCTTCCTGCTGGCTGGAATGAGGAAAGGGCTGCTGGAGCTGGTGCAGCTACTTTAGACCATGCAGTGGAAGCTTGTTATTGATGATGGGGATTGCCAATAAAATGGAATCTGCTAGGTTCTTTGAATACTGTGGAGCCACATACCATACTGGATGCCCTATATTTATGTGTAAGAGAAATATACTTCTACCTTGCTTAATCTATAATTATTTTGCATTATTGGCACTGTAGTTGCCCCAAACTTGACTGATACAGTTCTGTAAACATCAAAGTTCTATAAACATCAATGCTCCCAGAGAAAAAAGCATTTAGCTGTTGGAATGATGTGGATAAACAGCTGGAAGGATCATTAGAATATTAGGAAGAATCAGGGGCTTGATTTCATGTTGGAAAGTGTTCTAGGGGATCACCTTCTGATGGAGACATCCTTTTGGGACGCCAATAACTGAGTTTTTTGGAAGAAATGCAAGAAAGGGTCTATCTTTTCTTAAACAGTTTCCATCACAATTTGAATCCACATGCTATAAGCCTCTTACAAAATATTCTCTTAGATGGAATTGGAATCTCAGTTACAGAAGAGCTGAGGATTATAATACTTTTTATAGGAAAAGTCATTATTTTTTTCAAAGATGCTCAAAACATGAGAAATGTTGGATTCTAACTTACCTATCAAACTCATAGTTTATATATATATTTCAGTCTTCTGTCACCTATAAAGTGGGGATAATTTTTACATCTATTGAATACTATGGATTGTACATAGACTTACAATGTCTCAGAGAATACTTCATCAGAATAAAATTGCATTAATTTAAATGGGTTAAGTAAAACAATGGTTGATCAGGGTTGATAAAAATGCTGTAATGATTTCATGCATCCTATACTATGCCTATTTGCTTGTTAAAATATTAATTTTTTATTTTCTCTTTGCTTTTAATGATAGTTTACTTTCTTTCTTTGAAAGGAGCATAACTTCTACTTCTTGAAATGGAAGAAATAGAAGTCTTAAAGAACTCAAATCAGCAGTTTGTTTCTGAGTCATATGTGGAGTTACTCTATAATAATGGTCTAAAATTTGTAATTGTTCAGTTTGTATGTATATTTACAAGGACAAATAATTTCAGTCAACTTATATTCTTTCTACGAACAGAGAAACAGATTTATAAGGTTTCCAAAAAACTCAATGGGGGATTAAAATTTAACCTTTGCTCTCACATGTGATATAAAATAGAGAAAAAAACAACTTCATTTTCTGGAGTTAATTCTTTAATGTAGTTAGTAAAGTCTTATTTTAAAACATAGTTGAGCATATGTTTATTCTCTCATATCATTCTGCAAGCAACTGAAGCCTAATGCATGTATGAGATGAGCTTTATTCTCGCGGGAGAATAAACCCATTTAAATACTGGTTTTGTCATTGATACTATATTGATGAGTTCTTCATCTCTCTAAATTAGAGAACTCCAATTCTAGAGTTACTTTCCCACTTAGCAACTAAGTTTAAAGGCTGAAGAACAAGTAGAGGAAGGCAAGGAAGAAATACTTTGGCTTTAAAAAGAAAACCACAGAAAGGGGGAATAAAAGCAAATTCTTAGTCTTAGATATTATCTAAAGTACTATTACTTTAAAAATTCCCTAATTTCCTGCCAGCTAAGATCTTATCTCAAAGGGCAAAGAGTAATGAGTTTAAAGTATTCCATTTATTAAAAAATTCTTTTCCTATATAAGATGAACTCACACAGGTGGATGGATTTGGAGATGGAGGTTTGGAAGATGATGCAAATGGCATTTCTCAGGTGTTGGGGCTTCCTAGTACAGAAACTTGACTCTACCAAAGCCTTCGTGTTTTCACTTATCTCATATCAAGACCAGAAGATTGAATGTGAGGCTGAGTTATTACTTCAAGTCTATCACTGTTTGTCTAACGGAAAATGATTTCAGGGTCATTCTGATCATAGGAGCAAAACTTTTCTGTGATGGATTGATTTTAAGCTATGATTGTCATTAAGTCTTTTTCCAAGACCAGTCATTAATTTTGTTAAAAAATCTTTTAAAATGTTATCCTTAGGGGAGAGTTAAATACCAGCAGAGCTGCCAGCAAACAAGTCTGAGATGGATGCTTTGTTAACTGCTACAAAACAAAGTGTTGTTTCTGAGTTGACATTAATTTATTTTTGTGGAAGTACAAGTCTCAGTCAGTGCCAAAGGTCATCCTGCCCTCTGGCTCTGCTGAACCTGCTGATGGGTGCGAAACATGAGGGGCGGTGAGCCTACTAAGTAACAGAGGTTGACCGACACAAAGCTGACACCTTTGAATGGGATGGTTCTCCTGCTGATCTTCAACTAAAAAAAAAACAACTAATGATTACTTTTTAGTCTTATATATATTTAAGTTTTTCTCCTCAATTTGCATATAGCTGCTATGAGAATGAATCTTTTAAATTTTTGGATAGAGGCCATGCTGATGATGTTAAAAGTTAGCAACCAGTAAACAAGACTTTTTAGATCTTGTAAGATGGCACAAATCTATATACATACATCTAATTAAGTCCTTTTAAAGACATGCAATAAACCACACTCAAGATGCAGTTACCTTTAATTTTGGTGAATTTACCTCCTGTTGGTAAGAGTATTTAGGGAGGAGAGGAGGTGAGTAGGGCTGGGTAGGCTGAGAAAGTGTCGAGACCGTGTCTGAGACAGAAGCCAAGGGAGAATGAAAGGGAGGGGAGGAAAGCAGAGAGCTGGGGAAAGGTGTAGATGTTCGTTCTCCCGGAGAAAATGAAGGCAGCTTAAATATTAAGAAAAGACAAGATGTGATTATGCTAGTGGCCAGAATGCGGTTACACGGTCTTTAGAGACTATCCCCAAAACATAATTTTAAGGTTACCAAATACCCTGCAGAGTGGCATTTAGGCCAAGCCCTTGCTTAAAAAGCACTAACTTTTTTCTTTTGAATTCGATTCAAAATTGCCAATGGGTATGACTAGTTTAATTTTTCTGATGCGGTTGGTGGGCGATAAGAAGCCCCGTATCCTACAATTTTATAATAGATTTATATGACGGCGCCTTATAAACAGGAAAGAAAAGCACCTCCAAAACCCTGCAATGATTCTAGCTTGCCTGTAACGCAGGTCAGTCTGTATAGTCTGTTAGTAAGACCTCCCCGTGCGTGCCTGCGTGCGCGCCTGCGTGCGTGCCTGCGTGCGTGGCTGCGTGTGTGCGCGTGCGTGTGCGTGGCGAGAATTGGCTGTGAAACTCACTCCCTGACCACACGCTTCGGGTATTGCCTGCAACAGGCTCCAGGGAACCAAGCCCCAGGTATAATTACGCCCTGCAATTGATTACATTGAAGGGGAAATTCGTTTTTTTAAATAATTCACTTAAAAATTTTGACTTCGGTATGAATGACCTGTTTCTAGGTAGCGGGTTTACACCAGTGCAGGCATGGTCTGGGGTCTTTGCTCAGGTGACATTTTCTCTTCTGGTTAAAGAACTAGCCTAACCTCAAGGTTTGCGGGTGTCCAGGGTCCTCATGACCCTGCAGTATGGGCCAAGTGCCTCTGTTTTTTATTGGTAAGATCTTAATAGAAAGTTATGGGGTTTAAAAATTAGTGTCATTTTGTAAGATTTTTCAGTAGAGGATCCGTGGTTGAAGGTGACTTGCCTAGTAACATAGCATGAATCAATCCTTTTGTTTCATAATTTCAGTATTTGCCAGTAATCCCATTTGCTTTTTAAATCACAGATTAAGTATTTGAGAGGTCAAGTTTGGGTTTAGGTTTTAAAAAGGAAAGTTTACAAACTAAAGATTTAGGGTATTTTTCCTCTTCGTTGATGAAAATCATTGCCCAGGGTTCTGTGTAATATGAAGCAGTAGTCGTCTTAAGTGGTCACTGACGGAAAGAAAATGACCTCTTTAGATTGGAGTACTATTTTTCTTATGTTTTCCTTGTTTCTCTTTTGCAAACTGCCATTACATCAATGTATGGTGTATAATTTTCTCATCGTGGAATTGGACTAATCTCTGTGTATCAATTTCCTCATCTCTACAGTAAGGATAATAATATAACTCATTTCTTTGGACTTGGAAAAGTAAAGGTGCAGAGTTCTTAAAATAGTGTCTAACACTTAGTAAGAGCTCAACTATTAGCTATTGGAAAATGAGGGAGACTATATGAACTATTAAGATCATTTAAATATGAATTTATAGTCATAAATCATTAATGGAATTATATATTTACATCATCATATTAATATTTGGTGTTTCCTACGCCCCTCCACCCCAGAATTATACAGTGCTTGTGTTTCTTTTAAGGCAGTGTCAAAATTGATATTTATTATTAATATGATTAACTGCACTGGCTGATTGTAGTAAGATTGGTTAGTTCTTCAGTAATTAGGCAAAATTAAAATACCTCATTACTGGTTTTTGCTGCAGTGCTGTTTTCCGTAGGGGCTCTAGCATCTGTGGGGGAGGCTACCAGGTATTTTAAACAGTCAGGTTTCCTCTCCGCTTCCTCCTCTTCAATGTGCAGGCATGGTGTCACTTCTGTGCCATCATGGTCATACCACAAGGTATCTGGTTTTTGAGATTCTGGTCCTCTTCGGATTCCTGACACAAACTCCTCATAGAGTTCCTCATCTTCCTCTCCAATCACAGGGAGGTTTTTGGGCAAGGGACCCACATCAGTGTGTGTAGAGGCCACAAGCTTATCACCTAGGACTTCAGGTACTTTTTCAAGGTGTGCAAAGCCCCTTCTCATTTTTGTGAAATCTGCAAACTTTTTTGGAGCTGTCTTTCTGGGATCCTGAAGTGGCATTGTCTCAGAAGGCTGGACTGCAGGTGAGGTCACACCGGAGTCGGGCACAGGAGGCAGAGAGGAAGGTGGTTTGGCAGGTACAGATGCTGGAGGCAGTGGGAGGAGAATAGAGGGTTCCTCCTTAATTTCAAGGGTGATCTCCTCCAGGATATTTGGTTTGGCCGGGTCAGCTGCTAATGTTAAAGCACTAAGCTTCTCTAATTCGTCCAAGAAGTTGTCCAGAAAAGGAGGTGGTGATGGGACCAAAGTGTTGGCCGGCGGACACTTGGCTGTCGCAGACAGCCACCCCTGGGCGAGGCCCTGTGGAGCTGCTTTATCTGGGCCAGGTGAAGCTTTGTGCATGGGAGGAGGGGCTGGTTCACTGGAAGCCAACTTAGAAATGAGCAGGGTGATGAAGTTAAAAAGATAAACCAACAATAATAAAGATGTATCAAAACAGAAACAGAGAAATGCAGGAAAAGGATGGTGGTGGATATAAAAAATATTTTATGCTATGGTCTAGATTTGAAGATTTCTTGCTGAATTTACATAAAGTCATTAGCCTGTTAATTAGAATGTTTTCTGAGAAATGAAAGTCTGCTTGTATTTGGAAGGGATGTTAAATGTTGTATGACATGATAAAACTGACAGAGAGATTATGGTAGACAGGGAAACCTTAAGAAAGTTGATTTAGTAGACTACCTTTTTAAAACTATGTTTCTAGATACTGACTTAGTACTATAAATGTAAATGATTCTGAACTAATATTAATGTAGAATGAAAACCAACAATCAAACCTTTTTTGATTCCCTGATTTTGTTTATAGTGTTCTTTCTTTCTGTAGTAATGCCAAATCTTTTGAACTTAATAATTTTCTCAGTTACGTTTGCAAGGTGATTGTAACATATGGCACAAAATAACTTTATATCATTATATATGAACACATTTCTAAATAAATAAGTTCTGAAAAATATTTTTCATGAACAGAAACCCATGATCAGAGCAAAACGGAACTTATGTTACTTGCATTACTGATCTTAATACTTGAAAGTTTTAAAATACCCGAAGTAAACATTTACATAGAACAGAAGCATAAGATGTTAATGGAGGTGAACTTCTGCTAGGCCCCCATTCTCTCTCAAAGGTTGACATTTCATGTAAACCTGTCTAAGTATAGTTTATGAAGCTTAATCTCCTTAAGTAAAAATATACTCCTATGTATCTTAATATTACATGCTGTACTTTGGTTATATTAAACAAAACCAAATTTTAATGTGAATTCATTAAAAGTGGTTCTAGACGTGCTGCCTTGTAACATTCTAATACATTTATCTATCATTGCTGGACTAGAAAGAATAGTACATGCTACATATATGGAGGCCTTGAGAGAGGCTGTGGATGACATCGTACTTGCTTCTCTCCAGGTGAATAATTTGGGTTTGGAAAGAAAAGAAATCTTAAAGAGAGATTGTAGGGGTGCACTCCAGCTGACCGTTCGGGTGAGACTGTACTCAGTCCTGTGGTCCCAGGGCCTTCGTGTACATCTCTGCACAGTGCGGCCCCTGCTTAATTTTCAATTCTCTGTCCTATAATAGGAATCAGGAATTAATGGAATTTATTTCACTGCTGTTGTTTTTTTTTTAAAGGAAATAATGATGTCATGTCACCATGGGGTGGAAGAAATGAGACAAAAATGTCCTAAAACTCATGTGAGCATCCTAACAGAAGATTCAGGACTAATGGCTGCTAAGTGCCCATATAAAGTGATCCTATACGTGTGGGCTGTGACTGGATAGACACTCTTCGCAAGTCCACTATATGTTCAGTTTTTAGTAAGATAGAAATTACCTAAGTCTCATTTGATAGGCTAGGGAAGTTCCCATTATTGGCTAGGGTTCTATTTTATGCTTTTCCTTATACAACACGGTAACAGATGTGAAAAGTCTGTGAAACATAATAATTCAAGATTATTTTCACTTTCACTTTCTCTCATGGACATGGATAGTATGTGAATGGGAAGAAAGATCTTTAAATCCCGTGACTGTCATGACTGCCTGCTGCTCCTCCAGTGCTCTGGCCACCAGAGTGCCCAATACACACACTAACAGGTTCAAAGGACGCAGCTTCACAGTGGACTTGCTTCTACTGTGAGTCAAATCAAGTATCCCAAGATCCCCATATCTCAAAAATACACCTATAAAACAAAAACCATATAATTATCTTTTCTTCCATAAGTATTGGAATTGTATTCCACTATACTCAAAGCAGAAATACCAGATATAATATCAACTTGCTTTTGTATCTCCCCTAAAGTAAAAATAGTATGTCAAGAAGTGTGATTTGAGTGTGTCAAAGTGATTCATAAATCACTTAATCAGATCCTTTCTCTATTTGCAAATAGCAGTTAGAAAATAAGCTATATATTTAGTGCACTTTGGATGTCATGGTTTAGAAGTACATTATAATCCTTTTTTTCAAATTATGGACATAAACTGACATATTTTTTCCCAGCAGTGAGAATAAAACACTAGTTATTAGTGAAATGTGTACACTTCTGTGTTTATAAAATGTAATATCTGGTATTCTAAGAAAAAACTTAGGAAACTGAAAATACATTTAAATCACATTCACAACAAAGATGAAAGCATTATGATCTAAATAAAATATTATGTTGCCAATATTTATTAGAACCTTATGGAAGCATTTCTTCAATAATCCTTTGTAGATAGATGCTTCCTCTTTCTTATACAATTTCATTTGAAGGTACTGTCACTTGGAAATCTGGTAGTTCTTTTAAAACAACTGAATGTTAAATGACACATATATGGATGAAAATTCTTTTTATTAGTAGAAACTACTGAAGTAAGGATGTTAATCTTTAAGTGCTAAGGTCTGGTAGTGAAGTAAATATACTAAAGAGGATTCTGTAAAACTTTATCACCAATCAAACAAAATTGGATAGTGACAAATTACTGCCTTATCCAATGATAAAGTATACTCTTTCAAATACCCTGGAACTAAAACCCAGTCTTCAAAGAAGAGTAGAATAAATAAAATTCCCAGCCTAGGCCTTTTAAAAAAAAATGGTTCTCTTAAGGTAGTAGAGTCTTAGATCATTTACTTAAGTAAAATCCTTCTAAGACTCATTTTCAAGGAGTAGTTTAGGTCACTGGGGATACTATCTTGTAATGATCTCACAGTGAAACATGAAATGACTCCACATTTTAATAAGGTCTGGTATGTTGATTATTTTGCTAGCTCTAGATAGTTTATTTTTCCATGTTTCAGCCTCGATCCCAATTAGAATAATTTTTAATCTATGCAACTTAACATTTAAAAAAATTTAGAAGTACTTATAATATATTTTGGAAGTAGTTTCTTGGTAATTTAGTTTTGTACTTGGAAGTTAATGAAAAAGAGAAAAACCCCTAACTACCATCCTTAAAAAGAACATAATATATTAAAATTCAATAGAAAATTAAGAAAAAATTCACATTGTGAGTAAAGAAAGTAGAATAACCTTTCTAATTAATGAGTTTAGGGAGTAAAGTCTCTTTCAGACTACCTGTTGAGAAAGATAATTATTTTGAGCTACTAGCTCAAGTGAGATGGTAGAACTGGCTTGTAATTGTCCTAAAACTAATAAAATTCACTAATAAAATAAAATTGCTTATAATAACCAATGACACTTTCTTTTAGCCTAATAAACTGACCTACAGACCTCAGTTAAAAAATTATACTCCATCTCTCTTTCTTTATTATAAAACCCTGAGACTTTTATAGGATTTCATCAACATAATTACCATTTGTTGTTGAAATAAACCATTTGAGGAATCTGTCTACCTTTTCTATAGATCATCTGTCTATAGATGCACATACATATACTCCACATAAAGCATATTTACAAATCAAAGTTTAGAAAAAAAAATGCTTCAGAAAAAGCTGAGCTTCAAAAAGCAGATATGTATATGTATGTGTATGTACAGACATATATAGGATTTTATGATTCTAATGTTTTCTCTTCCAGTATTTTAACTTGAAAATGAAATTATCAAAATCAAGCATTAAACCTTATGCCAGCACTCATAAGAAAAATTAAATGATATTGCCTTGATGTGGCACTTAGAAACATAATATATGTTTCTTCTGCTTTGCAGTGAGTATAATGTCCTAGTCTAAAATCCTAAAATCACATATTGATTATCTTATTCCAAGCTCCCAGGTATTATTCTAATATGCTAGAAGGTCTTCTTACCTTGTTGGAACTGAAGCTGTGGATTCTATCACTAGAGTAACTGTGGGGTATTGGAGGGTCTGGGTAATCCTCAGCACCTTTGCTTGTATTCTTCTTGACAACTTCTACATAGGAAACAGGGAAGATGCCTTGTCTGTTGGTTCCAGGGATTTTACCTTCATACCAATTTTGATCAACTCTTTTAAGAAGAATAACTCTATCTCCCTGTAATGAATATTAAGAAAATGCACTGTAAGTAGAGATGTGATAACATACAAAATATGGTTGTCAGTTTTCTGATAAACAGGTTTTCCATTTGGAAAAGTTTTATCTCCAGTTTTGCTTTACTTTTTTTTTTTAGTTAAGAGAATGCAAGTCTCAGAGATGCCCCCCAAATTACAGATTATGAACATGTGTGCAATTTAATCATCCATTCATAGCAGAATCTTCCCTAAGGATGGTTGGTTAATGTGAGTAGGCTTACACATGTTCATACTGGTACCATGTGAAATGACTTGTATATGTTATTGCAAAAAGCAGAATAGTTTAACAGGTGACATCTGAATGACAATGGCATCATCCTATCACTGACAGAGTCATGGAATCTTCTTTTGTAGGAAGAGCTTCAGAAAAGTACAGCTCAGCTCTCTGTGATGATGTGTCTGAAATGGGTTGTAGAAATCACCCTCTAGAAGGGATGAAGTTGAATGGTGCACTGTTTTCTCTTCTTTAATCTACAAGTGCTAAGTAGTAACCAAGAATTAAGCTAAGAGGATGGGACAAAGAAATCCATAGCTGCAGTCAGGGCTGACATCCACTTGGTCTGCATCAGGACAGAGCAGCACCACCATGCATTCTGATTGGTTGGTAGCCATCCCGTAGTGGCCATTAAGTATTTTTATAGAGCCCCTGGCTTTTGCAATAATAGAACTTTCTACCATCACTATTCCTGCTAGTGATCAAGCCAATGCCACAAAGCCCAGTTTAAATTTTAACTCAAAACCACATGTAGTCCAGAAATGAATAGGGAAGATGTGGTTGAACAACAAATCACTGCAGCTGCATAGAGCAGGTGCTACGGAAGTTTGGGCAGCTGCTCCTGATAGGGTGGTGGAGGTGACACACAGCTGGAACTTCAGAAGAGTACCTCCTCCATGTGGCACTCAAGGTGAAAATTTTCTTTTTGTCAAAATGCTGAATGGCTTATATAGCCTGTCCCACCACCATTGAGCACAACATACAGAAGAAAAGTTAGTCTCCCTCATCTTAAAATAACACTGATTTTCTCTGTAATACACTGCTGTCACTAGGCTGTTGGTGCAGTTATAAGTTCTATTTCACCAGCAGGCATGAGAGGTTCTAGAACCAAGCTGCATGTTACTATGTAGTCCGTGTTGTATGCAGACATGCTGCTACTTCAAACAGATGCATGTGATTGCTTAGTGAACAATGAAAATAGTTCATTTAATCATTTTCAACTGTGTACAGTGGCAATATTTGCACAGAAACCCCTTTGTCAGGATCGCCTATATCCTCCCATCACAAATCCAGTGCATATATGTATTTTAAAGTATCTCTGAGAAGCTTTGTGCCCCACAGGAAATTTCATCTGGAAGGCTTCAAGGGTGTTAGGTGACAGTGACTCACTGCAGCTTTCTGGATTCTTTGTAGAAAATGGGGGAAAACACAGAAATATCCACAGAAAAAGATGACCTATTTTATACAGCCTTTCAAATGCACCCATGAAGAAAACAGCCAGGCTACCTTTCTCAGCGATAGCTCCACATTTGTGTCAGCACTGAAATTGTATTTGGCTATAGCTTCTCCGATTTCTCCAGGTTGGGCTGGGGGAGGTGGTCTTGCAGGCTGTGCTTTTTCAGGAGGTATGAGTTTCTGTGAAGGAAAACAGTTATTTACCATTGGCCCATGGTGACTTTGGAAACAACAGCCACGTCAGAGGGAAGGGGAGGGGCTTACCTCTACATAGGAGATTGGAAAAATGCCCACTCTCCCACGGTGCTCACCCTCATACCAATTTTGATCAATTTTCCTGAGGATATAGACAGTATCTCCTTTCTTAAATGATAACTCCCTGGAAGAGAGATGTTTAAATGATTTTTTTCTTGATGTATAACGATTATCTTAAAGATCAACGTGTTTACTAGATCTGTATTTGGCTGGGAAATATACTTTCAATATTAAAAATCCATTGAGCCCAGTTGCCTAAGGATTTTCCTTGCAAACTGTTGGAATTCACTTATTATAACTTAAAAAATGATTTAGGAAAGAACAAGTATAAACATCGTGTTTGATAGAAATCACAGGTAGATTAATATGAAATTTAAAGTCAGGGATAGACTATTACTAGCTAGTCATTAGTTTATAGTGAAGGAGTTGTAAAGCTCGGCATAATGATGGATTGGTTCTGCACTGATTTTTTGTCTTGAGCTAGTTAGCTAGTAACTTACATTTGTCTTTCTATTACAATAGGGAAAATAAACATCATTTATCCTTAGTACAGAAATGCCAACACCAGAAAACTTGTTATTTGTGGGTCCTTGAAGCTGGTTGGTTGTTATTGAAGTAGAATATTTTGGTAAGGAATTTATTTTATGTAACAATAAAGATCTTATGCTTTTATTTTTCAGTGGGGCTCAAAGATGTTTTAAGTTCAAAGACATGTACCAATTGCTTGTTGCTTTCCTTCTATCTTTTGTTTTTTTAAAATAAAAATATTTCTCAGACACTAATTATGCTTTCTCATTTTGGCTGTTTCTGAGAAAACAGTAGGTAAATTTGGGTATTTAAGTTGTAAATACATTACTTATTTTGAATAATTCATGCTTGAATTCTCCCTCTCACTATATCAGATTTTCATGGCTTCATCATCCAGGTAACTGTGTCTGCTACTTCACCTCCAAAATTGTGCTTTATTGTTATTTCTCATCTTTCTCCACTTTCCTATACATCTGCCTCCCCACTCCCAAATCTGTATTGTTTAGTTCAGAATCTTGAGTTGGATCATTTATTTGTGCAGAATAGATAATAGGAGAGGTTTATATCAGATGTAGAAAATTGCTCATTGATTAAAAGAATTAATTGAAAAACTGTTGCACATTAAAAGATTACACATTTATAAGTGCTAAAATCTTCACATTGAAAGTGCATTAAATTTTCCGTAACCCTAAAGACAGAAGATTGACAGAGCCTTACATGCAAATACAGTACTTTCCTCTTTTATGCAAGTGCCTGATGTAGAAAACAAAAAACAAAACATTTAATGCTTACAATCCAACAGTTTATTTGTACCAGCTATGTTTTGTTTCTGGAAAGGAGACTAGGAAGCCTAGCTTTAAAAAAAGGTAAATTAGAGACAACTAATTATTCTGTTTTTAAATATGAAAAGGCATCTTTCCTATTATAAAGGCTTGTGTTTAAAAATTTGAAGTCTTACAGGTAAAGATTCTTAACAGCTTTCAAAATTGTGTCATTCTCATCTCAGAACTGGAATTTCTGAGTCCCATGTTGATGTTTGCTTTCTCCCTCCCACTCTTTTTTATAGTAGTCATTGGCAAGCTTTAAAATGGCATTTTATCTCTTTTTCTTATTTAACAATTGTGAAATTACATTTGGTGAGCTACTTAGCTGTGTTTATTAAATTAAAGTTTCTGTATTAGGTAAAGAAAAATAGCTTTTAAAACAAATGTTTATTTAAAACAGATGTATTTGTCTCTTGTTTATAAGATATCAGGCACAGAAAGGTAGCTATTAATTGAAACCACTCGAAAATGGGGCTGGTCCTTCCAGTGCTGTCTGCTGTGTGACCTTTTGAAGCTGCACAAGTCATCCATAACCTTGATTTTTTGTGTCAAATAGGTAACCACTTGGGGATGATGAACAGCTGCTCTTTACATCTTTGGAGAACAGAATAAGAGAAACATGATGAAGCTGCAACAAGATGAATTTATTTATGGTATGTGGGAAACATTTTTTTCCATCCTCAAATTATGGGAGGGCTTCCATGGGGAATCGCGTAGTCTATTTCTCTGAAGGCTTATTCTGCTAGACTGTTGGTTTAGGAGGTCCTTGTAAAAGGTGGGGCTTGTGTGGACAACCCTTCAGAACAGCTGTGCCTTTTACACCCCCACGGACAGTGTGTGGGAGAGCCACCTGCAAGGTATTCACAGTGTGGATGTGAATAGGCACAGAGGAGGGTGAAGGGCACAGAAAGTCCAGGGACACAATCAGCACTCGTGACACCTTTCTCTGCATTGCACGCCATCTTTTTCCCAAAGCCTATATTTTATTAAGGCTTCCCCCAAAGCCTGTGAGCCCCAGGGAGGATACCCTTCCTGCTCCATGCCCTCCCATTCCTCAGGGCTCATACATTTAAGGAGGCTTTTGCTTGACTGTCACAAGAAGAAATGAACTCTGTGTGTTCTATATCATTATTTTATAAAACGGACATGCATCTTTGAAATTGTCATGCCATGTCCAGGGAACAGTAAGGCTGAGAGTGCCACAGAGACAAAGCAATTACTTATCTCATCAAAGATGAAACTTTAACTCAGGAATTTTTTTTTAACACCAGATTAAACCATGCTCAACATCTTAATTTCTAAATAGGATTTTCTTTTTAGTTTATTCCCTATCTCAGCTGCATTCCCAAATTCTGAGTCATTTTTTTTATATGTGTTATATCAGAGACAGTTTCTAGTCTCAATTCATACAATATATATGTTAGGAATAATACATTTTGGTTATTATATATATTCATTCTCAACAACACAGTATAAGTTAATGCTAATTCGCAGTTTATTTAGTTCATCTTGAATTGTAATGGAGACCAAAGTTTCTCAAGTAAGGTCTGTGCACATGGGTCATGACAGACCTGAAAGGCTCCTTTTTATTTAAATGCTTAGTACTAGCCTTTCTCAACCACATGCCCATCTGATGAATGAGTTCCTAAAGAAAAAAGGGAGAAAAAAATACTGCAACAGGGAAATATGAAAACACCAATATCAAAAGACCACAGGAGAGAACTTTGTTCAGGATCTCTAAGTTTTGAACATTTAGATGTGAAAATTCTACTGTTGGAATCTTTGAACACAGTTCTAGTCTTAGTCCACAAACTCTCTTTGGTATAGTTGTATAGAGATGTTATCAAATTCTTCCAGTTAGTGTTAATTACTCCCCAGCACTTTATTTTCATTTCATTCTTGACACAAAAATTCTATAAGTAAAGATTCTAATTTTGTTTTTCCTGTGCTTTTATGCTTACTGTGCTCTATCTAACATGTTTAGTGTAATTGAAAAAGAAGTGTTTCTCAACTAAATTCAAAATGAAAATAAAATCAGCCCTATCCCAAGTAATTCTGATGGAGCCATTTCATTACAGAAAATTGCTGAAGGGGGAATTAGGCTTTGTTTGTAATACATCCCATTGTAATATTTATCTCTTACTGTATCACTAAAGTATTTAAAGCCAACTTAAATCATATGATGCATACTTATCTTACTCACTTCGATGTCTGAGCTTTAAAATCATAAACAGCTTTTGCAGGCAGTTTCTGAAATGAAAGGTAAGGGATTAGCACTAAGAATTTGGATTTCCTGCAAGAAAGCAGTTTCACATGAATGAAAGAGAAATGAAACCTCAAGGAATATTAACCATATATAATGAAAATCCTATATGCAATTCATGAATAAATCCTTGAGTTCCTCATTTAAGCTGTAATAGGAATGACATTTGCTGTAGCAGGAATATAATAGATGACTTATTCACCGTAACTACTGAATATCTTACATCAGGAACTAAGGGGGATGAATGCCGTAACAGGGGAATAAAATGCCTGCAGACAAGTCTGTCCTACGTGTAATTTTGGCTTTTCCAATGATAATTGTGGAGTGTCTATTGTGTATTGACACAAGTCCTTCTGAATCATAATAAAAGGACAGGAAAAATTCATGAAGGAAGTCATTATCCCTTTTACTCAACATTATCCCTTTTACTTAACATAGTAGCAAAGAATTATTAGCCCAGTTATTACTGGGCAGCTAGTTAGTGACCAGAGGTATAGGCTTGACCCTCTTGCATTGCCTGGAGGTTTCAGGAATTCTTAGCACAGGGTAAGTAAACCAGCTGCTCATCTTTTAGGCTTGGCGTGAGGTGACACTTGCCCACCTTTACCTTTGGGGCCCTCAGATCTGCCTGGGCACCTTGTGCCCTTCAGCCAGCTACTCTAGCTTTTCTTCTCCACTTCCCGTAACCCCCACACCACTCTCCTTCCCTGTGTCTCCAGTGAACTTGAGGCAAGCTGGAACATTCCTGACTTCTCTGCGGTCCCACACGCACTGGACTGTATCAGACACTTGTAGGGAATCCTGGAGTGGCCGCCAGCCGGAGGCCAGCGTTAGGTTTCCATCAGACCTTCACGCTCCCAGGTAGTAGGAGCCAGAGCTCCAGCCCAGGCTCGGGGACAAAGCTGGTTGGTTGGTGGTTCCCAGGGGCCCTGGTTTTTCAGGGATCCTCTCCCACAGAGCAGGCCAGCAGAAATTATTTATGTGGAATTTGTATTGATTTGCAACACAGTTTCCCTAAGGCTGTCCCCCAGTCATTGGCCAAAAATGTGTAGAGGGGAAACCTCCTTCCTCCGTGGGGTGGCCCAGCTCCAGACCTAAAGCACAGTCGATCGTTCGGGGTGTCAGGTCAGGATTTAGAGGCCTCACTGCCCTAACCGCCTGCAGCAGGGAGGGCAGCAGTGAGCATCAGACTGCTTGCTGCTTCCAGTCCTCTGCTCAGGCTCCAGGGAAAACTGTTGCGACTTTCTCTGTCGTCATTTTTACATGTTTAATCCTACTACTTTACTGGTTTTGGATGTAGCCCTGGCTGGTAAGAGCTTTATTAAGTATGTTGCTGACAAAGACCCCAATGCTCTTTAAGTACCTCTTTCTCCGGAGTTCCTCTTCTTTCCCGTGGTGTGATTCTCCCCACATCTGTCAGAGTGGATGAGTAACTTCTGGAGAACTCATGGTCTGTAGGAAAGGACAGGGCCAGAGTGAGTATCGACTTGGTTAAAAGCAGACTTGTTTAGCCATTTTCTCCAGTGGCAACTATTTTCCCCTTCAAACTTGGAGAGACACCACAGTGAAAACCGGGTATGAAACAAGGGTAATCACAACTTTGTGATGAGTGGCACAGCACAGAGCATTCCAGAAGGAGAAATACCCACGGTGCAGAAGCATGATGAACATAAACAGAATTGTCCCCTCGCCCCGACCATTGCGCTGCAGACCTGGCCGGGACAGTTCAGGGGCAGGGATTATTTCATCTCAAAGGTGTAATACTTTCTATTTCTATTCTTTTTGCTCCAATTTATCATTACCATTACAGGGATGATAGAAGATGGAGAATTTGAAAATAGCAACACTTCGTAAAAGTTGAAACATTTTATGGAACAGTTTAAGAATGTAGTAGCAAAAAAGAGAGACAAAGCATGATGTTGACAGAGCTGTGGGCATGTCCATTCTCTCTCTGCTTTTAAATATGTAGTGAGTCTTCCGATGTCATCTTAAGGCTTAAGGCTTAAAAGGCCTTTAGCCGTAGATTTCCCTTGTGCTCAACAACCTTATCATAAAGTAAATATTTGTTCCAAAAAATAAAAGGACAAAAATTCTCTGAACGGAAAGTGTATGAGTTGCCAAATTTGCTCGTGAAATACTATTTTTGTTCACCTTAAGAGAGAATATAAATAATGAATTTCATTACAGAAGTATGAGTACAAGCATCTCCTAACAGTATCTTATACCTTATGCATTTACATGTGGAAGTGTAACTGGAGACTGAAACTGTTCCAGTAGCTATGATATTAGAGTTTTACCAGTATAACTGGGTCAAAATTTCTAAATTCTTTCTCTTATCCCTTTCATAAATTTAGCCATATTGAATAATAAGCATTAAAAATAAAATAAATCTGCGTATAAAATAATTAAAAATGTCCATCCATAAAAAGAAAACCTTCTTTAAAGGTTTTGACTTTAAGGAAGCATTGTCTGTTCATAGTAGGTGGGGTGTCAGTTATGTGACATAAATGTCTGACTCTTGTCAGTTGTGAATTCCAAAGCCTTTAAGGTTAGGAAGGCAACATGGCCACAGATATTTCAGGTGAAGCTTAACCAGTTATTTTCATGAATGTGAGAGGATTATGTATAGCCTATTTTACATTTTAAATTAATATGCTTCTATGACCTATATGATTATAGGATTCTTATAATCATCATAAATTTTAAATTAGTTTTATTCCATGGAATATAAACTGTTTTTCAATTGGGCTAAACAAAATTTTTTACTAAAATATTTTACTAAAAAACATCATAGTATTTTTTATTTTTTTACCAAATATTTTACTAAAAAAAAAAAACACCCTTAAAATGCATTCCAAAGCCCTCTCAAGTCTTTTTTCAATAATTGACTCTATCTGTACAAAAAGTTTAGAGATGCTCATATTAGGGTATTGGAAAACTGGGAAAAATAGCTGCTTTATTAGAAAATTAGAGTATGACAGTCAGTGAAAATTTCGAAGAATAGACACTGATTTTAAAAATTCTAATTTATTGTTTTTGAATCGTGTAGTGCAAGTGAAGCAAAGAAAATACTAATAAAATAAGCAAACTTGTGCAGTGGTTACTAATAGCTGGGCCATACATATTACATTAATATGAAATTTGAATTATGTCTCTTTTTTGTATATAGAGATTATATTCTACACTACACATTCTGAGTAACTAGGAGTCTGAATCTTGTTTCTGCTACCTACTCTCTATGTGACCTTGGTGAAATTTCTTGTCTTCTCTGAGTCTCAATTTTCTCAGTTGTAAACGGTGCTTATAAAATGCCTATCACCTAGGTTTATGCCAGTGTTAATTAGGTAATGGATGTAAAGTGCTTTGCAATGTCTGGTGCATAGGAGACTGTGACAATCCAAGCTTCACCCTAGAATGTCCATTCCAACTTCTTAAAATGTGCAGAGCAAACAGATGCACTTTAAGAATTAAGGAAAAGAATTGTATAAAAATATTGAAACACGCTGTGCTATTCAGTTATGTCAACCCCCCAAAAATGGCCTTGCATTTGAATTGCTTTTTGTCCATGTGTTGCCCCTTCAAGGTGATCATCTGTGAAAACAGAATTAGGAGTCACTTTGAACTTAAATCACCTAAATCAAATGTCAGTATAGGATTGTTTTAGCAGAAATAGAAAATAGATAAATTAAGTAATGGAAAGGAAGAGAAAATGGATTCAGTGATTGATGGAGATGAGACTTACATATACAGCTTAAAGATGCATTCACAAAAATTTTATCCCAATTGGGTCCTTTAAATGGAAGTGTTAAATCCTACTCTCTTTTGGTTGTCCATCAATTACTACATTACATGTATCAGTTTTGCTTCCTGAGTTTTTTGATACAATATCTTTTATGTAGGATGTGAGCAAATTATCTATTGAGGGATTGACTATAAAGCTAATATAAAAATTAAGGAAAAGGCTATTTGTTAAGCTATTGATTTTGATTCATTTTTAACAAAAAAAGAACTAACTCTAAGTTGTCAGTCTCTTAAGGATACTTAAACTCAGTTATGGTTTCTGTCTTGAAATCCTCCAAATTGGTAAAATAAGCTTAATTTGTTGTTTTAATGTAACAGTTGTTTCAGCCTTAACATTAAAAGCACAGGATAGTTTTCCCTTTCAATTTTGAATGAGTAAATTTTTGTGAATTGATGGTCACTTTAAGCCACACATTGAGTCCAAATATCACATGGGCAAATGAGAACTATTCAGTAAGACATGTTTGCACAACAAGCATTTGCTTCAGACACATAATGATGCCAAGTGGTCTCACAACTCAGGAACGGTAAGATGTAGGAGTGGAAAATGAAAGAGCTGGATGGTGGTGTGTCTGAACCACAAGGGCAAAGAGAGGAAAGTCCATCCACCTTGGAGACTCGGCACACTCTCACGGTCTTGGTGGTGGTGGTAGTTGTTGGTCGCGTCCCCATCTTGGAAGGAGGCACTGTGAGGCATCCTCCCACAGTCGTTCTGGTACAAAGGACAATGAATAGCACCATCTTGAGGCTGTGGGTGGAAAGGCTGGTGCCTGGGGCTCCTTTTTAGAGCCTTAAGTGATGAATTCCTTTCAGGAACATCTGGCAGCAGTTCACTAATAAGACGGTGCAATATACTGTTGTCTGGCAAACTCCCCCTTCTCTTTTCAGCTTTAATTTGGTCACAGATGTCTTTAAGGGCAGAGTCCAGAGCCTCAAATACAGATGTTTTACATTTTGCCTTTTCAGTCTGTTTTTTGGGAGTTGAACTTTTTTTCCTCCGGAAAGGCACAGGACTGACTAGGAATGCAAGTTTAGAAAGGCCAGGGTCCATTTCTTGTCTTCTGGGCTCTTCCGTATTTTCATGTTTAGCTCTTTCGTGTTTTAACATGGTGGTAAATCGAGTATAGGAGGCTGGGCATCTGCCTTTGCAGGAGCTGATGAGGTGCCGGTGATGGTGGTGGTGATGGTGGTGGTGGTGGTGGTGGCTGGATCCGTAAAAACTTTCAGAGGATGTGAAAGAAAAGTGATCAAAATCACTCTCACTGCAAAAGGATGATCCTTCTACATGAATGTAGTCACTGTGGTCAGACACAACTCCATCTTGGTCACTGTCGGAAAACTCCATGTGAGCTCTTGGCTGTTCATCGCTGGTCACCTCGATATGAATTGGCACCAGGGTTTTAGCCTTGTAGCTTCGTTGTGCCTGAGAAGGGTGTCGACTTTGATTTTCTTCCTCCAGCAAAGACTCAATAGAAAATCGCCTTTTGGGACATAAACCATTTTGTTGTGGTTCCAGGGTTATAGGAGATAACATTTCATCTCCTAAATTTGGCATGGATTTTGACTTTTGAATCAACTTTTCAAATTCAGAAATGCGGGTGGGTACCATGTCCCTGGGCACCTCCTCAGTGGAGGATTGGCTCCATCCCTGGAGCAGGCCCCTGTGCTGCTGCTCCTTTTCATACTGCATGATCCGCGACTTTACCGAGCAAATCACCTCGGAATTCATCAAATCCTTGCGGTTAATGCGGTGCATTTTCTTGTACATTTTTAGGAACCCTGGGGCATCATGGGCTGACCTGTGTCGAAGCCTTGATCTGCCATTACTGCGGCCCTCCTGGATGTAGGGAGAAGCCCATGGCATGGAGCAGCTCCCCTTGGGGTCCTCTTCACACAACAGAGAGCCCATACTTTCTGACTTGGATTTGGGGTCCTGGAAGCTATCGCAGTCATCAGTTAGGAGATCATCACAACTACGGGATTTGATTTTGGGAGAAACTGTTTCCTCAGTGCTGCTCCAAATCTCTGCATTTTGCCGGGCCATTTGCCAGCCATTCTTGAAAGTAATGGCCCTCTGTGAGTCACGAGGGACGTCCAAATGCTGTCGGTAAGTGTTACAGTAATCTAACTCATTGGAGGGGTTGCCATTGAGCCCTGAGTAACTGCAAAGGGATGAACACATGTCATCCCCACCTTTTAATCCGGGGCAGCATGGTGGAAGAGAGACATTTGGAGAAGTTAAAAAGGTTCACAAAGAGGAGAGCATGTCAGTTAGCATCAGATAGCACAGCAAAGAAAGAACAGTTCGCATGGCGTCCTCTAGACACTGTTACACATGTAGCTTCAACTTTAGAGAAAAGAGTCTGATTCTAAAGTAAGGTCATACTTTTCAATGAATGTAGCTTTGCAGATATTAGAGTTAACAGACCCATGTGTAAAAGTAATTAGTGATGCTAACACACCTGTTTTTATTGCATCATTCATACATCTTTCTGCAAATACTGTATGCCCAAAACACCATAGTACCTTGAAAGCTAATAGCATGACCTTGTAGCAATTTAAAGGTTTGACAGTTAATGCCAAAAGTGATATACACTTAACTAACTTAAGAGGGTTAGAATTTGAGTCTCTTTTAATTTATAGTAACAGAGAGGTAAAGAGTAATTTATAAATTTAATTTACTTAGTCCTCCCATAACCATATCAAATAATTTTTCATGGGCATTAGATAGAAAAAGCTATTAGAGAAAATATTTCCCAAAATTGCACAAGTAATATGCTATGAACTATTGTTGCTAATATTTTTCCAAGAAAAAAAAAGTAACTAGGGTCTCTTTAAACAAACCTGTTTGCCTCTTTAATTGCTCTACCTTCAATCTCTTATTAGGCAGGCTTTCTTAAGGATAACTGGATATAATGTAAAACTTTCATCAGAGATAAATGTATCTTTGCTTTCTTCCAGGGAAGGCCTTTTTAAAAGACATTGTTCTCGGTTGACAATAGAGAGCTAAACCTGACCTAATTTGGAATAAATTTGAAAATATTCTTTCCTTTGGCTTTGTTGAGTTAACTGATAAATGAGAGGCCAAATTACATCTACAAGGATATTTTCTTCTTAAAAATATAAACCTGGTACAGAATAATCATCTGTATTGACAGCTCTTGCTGTACAATCTTCCCCAGATTCTTCAAAAGTAGATAAGCACATTAAGTAGATACGTAATATTTGGGAAAGGAAGTTGACTTGACATTCCTTACGATAAAAACAAATATCCAAATTAATCAGAATCTTTTTAACTTTCCAAGTACAATGAATCACTGGCATTTCATGACCTATTTATTACCTTCAGATGTTCATTTGATAAATGAGTAGAATCTGATAGAGGTATCTCTGTTATTTGAAAGATATCATGACGGAGGCTCACTCCCTCTGGACCTTCCAGTTAGCATGCAAGGCTTTCCTGGGCCATGGACTGGAGCTGTGCCTCCCTCCTGTCCTGAGTCCAGTGGTCAAAACCAGCCTATCTTTGCACATAAATCAGTACTGCTTAGTTTTAATTTAACCACGTGTGAAGAAGTTCAGTGCTTACCTTTGCTACATGTAGCTTAATCTGTGCTGTTTTTAGAAACTTCTGTTGAGCTCACTTCACACATTTCAAATTCCTTCTGTTTTAATCCCAAGAGATTGTAGGACCCCAAATTTGGTATAGCCTTAGGTATTTGTGGATGGTCCCATGAGTGTGGCAATAATGTGCTAAACAGTACTTCAGAGACCTAAAGGAGTGATTTGCTCTCTCTTCACACAGCTCATTTAATTTCCAGAGATGAGAGAAGCCATATGGACAAATGGCTTGATGATAGCTAAATTTTATGCTTGTGGATTGAAACCAGTTATTTCTCACTAATGGACTGTTGTGAATTGAACACTGTGTTACAGGCAGAACATGGATATTCCACTGTATATATGAATGTTGGCTAAAATATAAAGCAACTGATTAAAGAAAGAACTCTATAAGTTAAACAGATTTTTATCTGGAATTAAATAATTGAAAAAAAATTATGTTTTAGGCATTAAGATTCTCCATTGCTGCTTCTAATTCCTATTCTACAAATCTGATTCATTTTGCTAGTTTTTGTAGTAACATTAGAAAAATTTGACAATATGCAAATGTTTATAAATGTACTTTTTAAATAGCCTCGCAATAAATTAGATACTCTGAATTCATTCCAAAAAACCCATAAAAGAAATATTGAGAGAAAACAAGCATTAACAGATGATAGAGTCCCTTAAGCCACTCAAATGGCTCACCAACATGATTTGGTCTGTGTATAAAGACAGCTATTGTTCTGAAACTATATTTTATTGGAGACACTGTATGTAAGTGCTAATTATCTCTGGATAGTTATCACTGAGCCAGCTCTCACAGGGTACCTAGGTTAAAACTTAAACTAGTCAACTGTTTACATGTCAGTTTATTGTTGCTCACCTTTTGCTCTTGATGGGGAAGAGGGAGAAGAACTAATGAAGGACTTGGTTAGGGTGGCGCTGGATCCGGGGAGGTCTGCCCACCCTGGGCTCGTCCTGCTTGCACTCTGACCCCCCAAGCCCCTCGGTGGTCCCACTGCAGGCTCGCTCTTCCGTCTTTTCCTGAAGTCACTGGCAGTGCTTGGAGAGCTGAAGGAAGCAGTAAGCTTCAGTTAGGTTGGCGTTGGAGGAGGCTACCATATGAACCAGAAAGACTGGGGGGATGTGCTGGTTACAGACAACTCTTCATCCCCAAGCTGCAATTTTAGGATTTCATTCCTTGATGTTGAACACTGTTTCTTTAAAATAATTCCTTTAAAAATTTATAAACTTAGATTTTTAGAGCAGCTTTAGGTTGATAGAAAAAATTGATTGGAAAGTACAAAGAGTTTCCATAAACTCCATCTCCCTTTGCATGGTTCCCCATTTATTGACATCTTCTGTTGGTGTGGTATTTGTTATAGCTGATGAGCCATATTGATACTTATTATTAAATGCAATTAACATCTATAGTTTATATTAGGGTTCATGTTTTCTGTTAAACATCCTCATTTTAAGGTTCTTCTATGTCTTTCTGTGGTGGGATAACATTTATTTACATTACTGAATAATATTCCATTATATGGATGTACCACCGATTGTTTATCCATTTACCTATTGAAGGACATTTTGGTTGCTTCCAAGTTTGGATAGTTATGAATAATGCTGCTGTAAACATCCATGTGCAGATTTTTATATGGACATAAGTTTATAATCACTTTCTAAAGTAAAAATTCTCCTATTTGTAAAATATGTAACTGATAACTCAAGTGTTAAGATTTGTATCATGTATCTTTTTTCTCTTGAAAGAAGAGTTCCAACAAGATAACCATATCCAGAGGATGGACACCACATGGAGGAAGGGATTGGAAAAAAGGAAGATACCTGGTGAGACAAATTTCTCTTACCTCAAGTCCCTATGGCTTTTCCTAGTAATTTTAGCTTTAAAACCCTTACACTAGAATTCAAACATTTTTCTGTTTAAATAATGAATGATCAATAATCTGGTCAGTAAATGAACTATTAAAGGGTGCTTTCACATCATCGTATTAAATAGTGTCAACAGTCTGTAATGGAGGGAATTTTGCTGTGGTCCTGGATCTGAGTATAGCATCATGTAAAGTAAACATTAGTGAACGAAGATATACACTGCACAGCATCTGTCTATCAGTTCTCTAGATAACACTCCAGCAGTGGCCGGCAGTAGGTGGCTGTTCGCTGTGTTGACATTGTCCCCTGTAGTCCGCATACAAATCTATGAGGTTTGTGCTCTTAACCACTGTTTCACAGACAAGGAAATGGGACCCACACGCTCTGCAAGTATACAGGTGGAACTAGACCTCGGGATCTGTGTGCATTCTTCTGAAGTGGATGTCCCCCTTCTCCTAGACATGTAGCTATTTTTGCTGTCGCTGTCCTATCAGGAGGTCTGTGTGTCTTTACAGCCATCCTCAGGTCCGAGTGGAACTCTAAACTTCAAACATTTTAGGTGCACATTTAGATGTAAAAGCTGTAACAGAAGGAATTGCAGGAGCTCCTTTCTTATTGACATTAATGTCTTTAGATGGCACTTGTGATCCCAATTTACAAAGGACCCAACTTCCAGAGTTATCTATTTATAGAAACATTACTGATAGAAATCTATAGAAGAGGAAATTAATGTTATATAAATATTTGTTGTTGATGAAGTGAATTTGTATTATTCATTACTGCTATTGAACTGTATCAGAATTCCTGTAATATTTTAAAGTTGGTGTGATGTTTACAGCCTCCCAACAGTACTTACCTTGGCAGACTCTTAGGGCAGTTAGGGCTACTGGAGAAAGGCTATTTTGGTTCAATTCCACTTTGTGTCTGTGTACCTGGCCGACTGTGTTGACTTGGTGAGTTGTGGAACCTAAATTTTAGTTTATTCAGACATGGGGTGATAGTACTTAAAACTTGCAGTGGTGTCTTAAGGATTGAATATATTTATGTACTTAGAGTGCCTGGTATTAGGTAGCCCTCAATTATTGGTAGTAACAGTATGTCTGATTTGTGTGGTCAGAATGAACAAATGTGTGTAGGACATAATTTATAAAATTTTTGATAATTTGTAATTTTTTCAAATGTATTCTCATGTCATCTAATAATACTGAAAAATTGATATTTATAATCCCCATTTAAAGAAAAGAAAACAGTATAGAAGCGACAGGGAAGGGAAGAGTTTCTCAGTCTGTAATGGAGTCCAGGTTTATTTCACTTAGTTTTTATGAATTCTTGAATATGACAATATAAAATGATGTCAAAACAAAACAACTTTGTAAGTATGAGGCTTAAAATAAAAATGAGGTAACATAATCTCCATTATTATTTCACTAAATAGTATTACTACTGAAAGAGAAAAAACCATGGGTATAGAATATTCTGGCTGCATAATGTAATGAGATTCTTACCTAGTGGATCTTTCCAGGCTTCTGTCTACAGAAGATTGATACAAGGAGGCCTGTTAAGATAGAAAAATAGTTCCATGAAACTTTTTACCATGGCAAAATTTCATTTGTCCATGGGCATTAAATTAGGTTTCCTAAAAATAATTTTATAAAAATTGAGATTAAAAAAACCATTTATTATGATTATAAAATGTCTTCCCAAAGAGAAA